TCAATTCGGACCCTAACAAATCATTTCCTACAGGGGAGCCAGAAGGTTCTTTTAAAATACACACACACACACACACACACACACACACACACACGCACACAAAGACCTTCAGTGTTTCTTGCTGCATGCATGATGAAATCTCTACCTCTCACCTTGTCCTCCAGGACTTCAATTCTTACCACTCTCATCTTTGCTCATTGCATTGTAGCCAACCAGGTATTTGCTCCTAAAATATACCCCATTCTATCCCATCTCTAGGCCTTTTCACATGCAGAGCTCTCTGCCAAGAATGCAGTTTACCAAGATCTTCCCTTGGCTGTTCCTTTCTATTCTTCCAATTTGCACTCACATGTCAGTAACTCCAACCAGACTTTACCAGTGCAGAGTCTGTGTAAAGATTCCTTCCTCCCTCTACTCCCTGATCTTGCCATTTGCTTTTTCATATCACCCCGCTTCTGCTTTCACAGCACTTGTTCTGCCCTTCAATCTTTATGCTTATATATTGATCCATTAAACTGTCTGTCTCCTCACTGGAATACAAGCTCCATCACAAGAGGACTGTAATGCTTGCTCAAACCTATGCTTACCAATCCCCAATCTTGGTGTCCAGCATATAAAGGTGCTCCTTACTTATTTAATGAATGAATAAATAGTCCAATAGCCACAGTCACGGAGTCACTGAGATGATTCATTCAACTAAGCACTATTGTTCAAAGTTCTAGTTCACCCCAAAAAATACAAAATGGTTAAAATTTGATTCTCCATGATGATGCTTCTGTAGGGGAAGAACGTGTTGACCAGGCAGCTCCAGTATTTCTGTCGATTTTACAGTGACTGTTTCCTCTTGGGAAAGTTGTGGTTTTGATTTTTGCAACAGTGTGTTCTGGATCTGATTAGTATGATTTAGTTTCTTTGATCTGGTTCCTTTGATCTTAGTTTTTAGAAAGCTGACCCAATGCTGCCCCTGGAACAACACATTTGAAATCTAGGATCTAAATTAAAAGACCACATATCATCATTCTGATACAGTAATGGAACTTACCTGAATGGCTGCCTTGAGATTATCTGTAAAAGCAACTAGTTTGTTACTTAGCCAATGACATGCTTCTGACACAACTTCAACATCATTATGTACCACACAGATCAGATCATGACATTCAAAGCTGTTACTACTGTTTTGTGGGTTTTTTTGCAAACACCAATCTTTTGACAATATTTTTTTTGGCAAAAACAGTTTGCCTTTTTATAATAGAGGAATTAAGGCCAATTCCAGCTCGTCACCAAGACATCAGTTTGTCTCATGCATGCTCATCTCTTAATAAAAACGTGCTTTTGTCATTTGTCTTTTGTCTGACTTACCTTGCCAACATCTCTTGGGAAAGGTTGTCTCTGATTCTCTGGAATTAAAATGGGAGATACCACAATGGACCTCTTTTGTCTTGGGACAGGAGACGTTCTTGCAAATTTAAATATATCCTAAAAGATAAAAAGTAAAATCAATTGACCCCAGGGAGAGGATGTATCAGTCTGCTGAGATACGGCTCCTTTGTTGTGAAGGCATGCAGCTGTTTGGACACTGTTAATTTTATTCCATCAAACCTCATTAGTGTTAGCAAGTACATCCTTAGAATTCTACTAAACCTGACATTGTGATTCACAATGACTATCATTAAGCTATTTAATCCCATTTTCTGAATCATTCTATTCACAGTGCCAGTCTTGATTTATACATCTCTTAGTACTGAGCATTCCCACTCTGCTCTTTACCTGCCAAGTGAGGAGATTACTCAGCTGGTCATGAACCCACAGGACTCACTGGATATTAAAGTTACCCTCCTCAGGGCCACCTGCAAGGTCCTTACACCCCAAATGAACAGGGAAGAAGGAGCAATCACAAAGTTCCAAACTGTCAAGCATTATGGACACTTGGAGTTAATGTGTTTTCAAGGACCACTTGTTGTTGTTATTACTCATGGGAGGACTGTGGTGATGCATTCTCCCTGCAGTATGTCCCAAACTTTAATCACTGGAACACCATTGTCAGGATGTCTGCCCCATCCGTAACGCACCTTTTTTAATTAACCAAATGTGTGCAAAAACCCCTTTTTATCAAGATTTTAAATAAAGTACCAGTATTGATTTCGATAAAATATAGGAAAACATAAAAATAAACATACTGGAGACCAAATGATGTTATTAAATTTGAGTTAGAAACTCCAGGGGAAAAAAAGCCCCTCTTTTTAAAAGGGAGATGAGGAAAGGAGAGGGTATTAAAGAGTTGTTGGCACCAAACTTAGATTTTCTCCTTGATCTGATCAGAAGACTGAAAAGGAACTGAAAATAGAATATCACTGTCAATATGTAAACCAATTTCATTTAGTGCCACATGCTAGCTAAAATTATCTTATGTATCATCACAAGTAAGCATCTCAAACTTTGAGCAACCAGTTTCTATCAAAATCATGTGGGGACTTATCCTTAAATATCATCACTGACACGTGCCCCATAAAAGTATGTGTATGTATACACATATACACACACATATATGTATACACATATACAAACACATACATATATTCACACATATATTATAGTTTTAAAGAAAAATTTGTATGAGAAAAGTCAAACAGAAAACAAGATCAGCTAAGGCTATGGAAATTTCTATAAATAATCTTTCTCTTCAATTTCTGGAAGTGTAAACTGATGGTGCTCTGGTGGGAAGCAATCTGGCACTATTTATCTATTGAGAACCTTACAAATGCACATATCCCTTCACTCTGGAATTTCACTCCTAGGAATACATACAAATGTTAAATGGCAAAGAAGAATAAAACTGTATGCAAGAGGATGTTTAGTGAGACATTACTTATAAAGGGCAAAAATGGCAAACAGCCTGAATGTTCAACCACATGACAAGGTTAAACTTGGGTCCATGAGAGGGAGATACTCCTAAGCGTTTTCTCATAGACAGTGGTGAAGACCATGTTCTAACCACATCATCATAATTTGACTACTGCCATAGTCACCACCACACACTCCTATAGAAGTCACAATGTATTAAGTGTGTGTCAGGTAATGCGCCAGGCACTTTACATGTGACTGCTCTAATATTTGCCATAAACTTCCCAAGGAAATCTCAGCCCTCCTAAACCAATGAAGAATATCAAATACAGAGTGCTTATGCTAATTGCTCCAACTCACCTAGCTAGCAGAGAAGATATGTAAAATAAAACATGTAGGAAAATATAGAATGCCATATTGGACACGATCTATTTTACTATTTTATATAAACTACATTGAACATTGAAAAATAATATTCAAAATCTCAATAAATGAGTTCAAATATTCAAGCAAAGACAGAAAACTAGAGTGTAAATGATGGTGGGAAGAAAGGGTAGGAAGGGTTAAAGCAATAATAACAATGACTCAACTAACCCCCAAATATGTATATAACCCAACCCATTCAAGCCAAAAACAGCATAGAGAGCGTGGAACAGACAATTAAAAACAGAGTGGATTACATTCATAAAACACTGACAGCTAACAGCTATGAAGATTCTGTTGGTTTATTAGGGGGTGGGAAAAGAAGAGGAATTATGTAAAATACGTGCAATATATAAAACTCATTTACAATAAATAGCATCCTAAGGCTCAGATGAGAGAATGTCCAGAGAAACACTTTGAAAAGATTTAAAATCCTGTGTAAATGTAAGGAATTGATGATTCATCTCTATAACAGAGCAAATATAGGTTTTAGTGCATTACGACAACATCTGTGTAAATGTATCTGGCATAATGAAGAGCACTCTGACGCTCACAGCATCCTGGAAGCTTGGCAGTAAGCACAACTGTGTTAACCCCTGACTCTAACAAGCCTAAGAATAGAAAAAGGAGGCTCAGAGTCTCAGAATGGAAGTAGCCTCTGGAAGGGGAGATGGGGAGGTAGAGTGACCAATTATAGAGGAGCCTGCACGTACATGGGACTCTCTGAGCCCACCATGGGGGTGCTGGGCCAGAGCACCCTTTTTCTGCCAACACTTCACTTTTTACCTTTCAGTGGCAGGGACCTCAATAAAAGTCTAGGGACTAGACTGTGAGCTCCATGCGGGCAGGGGATGTGTCTTTCTTGTGCACTATCCCAGAGGCCGAGAATTACTCCGGGGCAGGGAGGAAGGGATCTGCAGATAGTTTTTGAAGAAATGAAGGAATGGATGGATGGATATTAACCCATTCTTTCATTCTTTCTGCTTTCCTCCTTCCCTTGAGCCCCATCCTCTCCTCCCAACCTCCACCCCTCCCCTGTCCCTCAAGAAAAGATAAGACAGAGTGGGGGGGGGATAAAAAGACTGTGAGCAATTCAAGAGAAGTTTATAGATGGAGATGAGACAGGGTGAGGAAAAGACCAGATCTTAAGCGTAAAGGAGAGGCTGTGTTAGGACTCCCTGGCTTCTGGTGTTGCCATTACCAAGATAGTGGCCAAAGAGGGGAAAAAAAGGCAGTTTTGGGCATAGATTCAAGGTTGTATAGACTTGTTGACTTTGAGGTGTCATGTACATCCAACAGAGATTTCTAGAGGGTGTACAAAGAGTGCAGTTAGAGGGAGGGTGAATCAGGGAGGAAAATGTCACAGTCATCTATGTACAAGAGAAACTGGACGTGACAGAAAAGCTGAACCACCCAGGTTATGTGAAGACGGAAAAGGAAGGACTGCAACCATTCAATGGGTTTGTAAAGGCCAGCAAAGGCCACAGAAAGGTTAGTTGGCAAAAAGGAGAAAACACAAAAAACGAAGAGATGAGAATTTCAAAAAGGAAGGAGTTCATGGCCATGTCACACAATGCACACGTCCTTTCCAGCAAGCTGAATACTCTAAAGAGGCTTTGGGCTTGATGATGAAAAGAGAATTGACAATTTCGGGAAGAGCAGCATTAAGAGTGTGTAAGGGTGGAATGTCCGAGGAACCAATGGGAAGTGAGGACTTTGGTTCAGAAGGAAAGGAAATAAATGGGAAGAGGTTTGTCAGTGGAAGGGGGACCAGGCGGGGTGGTGGGCTTGAGGAGGAGGGGACGGAGGAAGGAACTGTAGCGCAGGGAGAATGAAGACACGGAATGGAGATGGATGCCTGAAGGAGTTGGGAAGGGAGTGGATCAGCCTCACAGTCAGCCGTGAAAGAAGGATGGGATCTGATTTCCTTGGGGAGGACTTTCAGAGGTTTGGGGGGCATCTCTCATCTGCAAAGGAGGATCATTTGCTTTTGGTTCTCAGAATGAAATGAGAAATTGTGCATGGAAGAGGTCTGTGCTCTCCAAAGAATAGCACAAAAGTGAAGGATGGGTCTTATTAATACCAGAACAGCAGGGGTGAAGAAATGAAGATGAACCACTCAGTCCCTTTTAAGAGTGAGTCATTCCACTGTGGGTGGCCAAGGCCAGACCTTAGAGACACACCGAGACATGCAGCCACCTAAAGATTTCCAGATCACCTGGTGCATGCACACTGACATCAAAATTTTCTCTCACCAAACACAAACACTCATGCACAACACACACACACACACACACACACACACACACACACTATTCACAGAGAGTGAGCAACTGTCCCCGTGCCTCCATGGGGCACTCCCTACACCCTGCAATCACTGAACAGGGATTCATCAGCGGCTTTGAACCTGGAACAGCCTCAGCAGCCTCATGCAATCCTGCATAAGTCAAGTGGGCAGAACTGTGTCCTCAGGGAGGCTCACTCTGCTGCATTTTATTACAAGAGAATTGTCTCCCTCACGCAAACAGCATTGTCTCCAGTAGGCTACAAGGGACTGCATCTTTCTGTCGTAATGTATCTGGGTTTACAATCTCATTTGCTTTCCTTCCTGTTTCTCAATTTTGGGAGAAGCTGGCAGTGCATTAAAAGCAAGGTTAATAATGCCTGGGGAGCATCATATCACACAGTCCCAAAGAGCACATCAGAAATAAAGGGGAGCCCCTTGTAACTCTGAGGGACAGGGGAGGGGTGGAGGTTGGGAGGAGAGGATGGGGCTCAAGGGAAGGAGGAAAGCAGAAAGAATGAAAGAATGGGTTAATATCCATCCATCCTTTCCTTCATTTCTTCAAAAACTATCTGCAGATCCCTTCCTCCCTGCCCCAGAGTAATGCTAGGCCTCTGGGATAGTGCACAAGAAAGACACATCCCCTGCCCACATGGAGCTCACATTCTAGAAGGAGGAGAAGACAGTGAACACAGGGAGTAACACATGGCCCAGGAGAATAAACAAACAAGGAGAGGCCGAATGTGCACAGAGGAGTGTATGCTAACAGACAGGCAGGAGGCCAGGAAAAGGGCCCCCAAAAAGGGGGCCTTAGAGGATGAAGGAGCCTGGAGTCATGTGGGTGTGGGGAGGAAGGACTCCCACACAGCAGAATCACAACCTGGCATGTGTGAGCTGCAGGAAGACAGCTCAGGGGCTGAGTGTGAGG